CATCAAATGATGCTTGGGCATGTTCCAGGAGGTGTGCTCTGAGTCCACCTAAACTAGAGTCAGTGGTATCCCCTCTTCCCCCCTCCACCACCTCCTATGTAACTTGTAGCCCAGTGGCTAGAGCATTCAACAGGAGGTGAGACACCAAGGCTCAATTCCTCATCTGTCTGATGAGGGGAAGGCATTTGAACATGGGCTTCCCCTGCTCCAGATGAACGTCCAAAGCCCTGAGCTATGGGTTATTCTGGTATGGGGCTCTCTGTTGCTCCCATGACGCTTTTCCAAGTTTATAAATAATTATATATACACTGCACTGAAATGTGGGGCTATACAAGCAGAGGACCAAAAGACATTCCCTGCTCCAATGAGTTTACAGTCTGCATAGATGAGACAAACAGCTGGGGAAATGGGTAAAACACGGAAACAGAGTCATAGACTCAGAACTGGAAGGGACCTCAAGAGGCCATCCAGTCCAGTTCCCTGCCCTCACGGCAGGACCAAGCATCATCTAGATTGTCCCTGATAGATGTGTGTCTAATCTGCTTTTAAATATCTCCAGAGATGGAGATTCCACAACCCACCTAGGCAACTTAATCCAGTGTTTAACCACCTTCATCACTGGGAAGTTTTTCCTAATGTTCAACCTAAACCTCCCTTGCTGTAATTTAGCCCATTGCTTCTTGTCCTCTCCTCAGAGGCCAAGGAGAACAATTTTTCTCCTCCGTCCTGGAAACACCCTTTTAGATATTTGGAAACTGCTATCATGTTCCCTCTCATTCTTCTCTTTTCCAAACTAAACAAGCCCAGTTCTTTCAGTCTTCCCTCATAGCTCATGTTTTCTAGACCTTTAATCATTTTCATTGCTCTTCTTTGGTCCTTCTCCAATGTCTCCACATCTTGAAATGAACTGAACACAATACTCCAAGTGAGGTCTACTCAGCACAGAGTAGAGTGGAAGAATGACTTCTCGTGTCTTGTTCACAACACTCCTGCTAATGCATCCCAGAATCATGTTTGCTTTTTTTGTTAGTGTCACACTGTTGACTCATATTTAGCTTGTGATCCACTATGACCCCTAGGCTATGTCTACACTCGCGGCTTCTTTGCGAGAAATATGCAAAGGAGGCTAAACGTAGAATATTGCAGAGCCTCATTTGCATTCCTAATGAGCCACCATTTTTGCAGAAGAGGCTCTTGCGCCAGAAGGAGCTGTCTACACTGCCCCTTCTTGCGTAAGAAAAACCCTCTTGCACAATGCCGTTATTCCTGAAAATAATCAGCGTAACAGCATTGCGCAAGAGGGTTTTTCTTGCACAAGAAGGAGCAGTGTAGACCACTCCTTCTGGTGCAAGAGCCTCTTCTGCAAAAATGGTGGCTCATTAGGAATGCAAATGAGGCTCTGCAATATTCTACGTTTATAGACGTAGCCCTAGAGTTTATAATAAGCTGAAAAGTGCTGGGCTCTAAACTCTCCTCATTATCATATGGAAGCTGTTCCATACCCTTTACTATTTTTGTTGCCCTTATCTGTCCTCTTTACAACCCTAATATGTCTCTTTTTTTGACATGCCACTTGGCCACAGTCACGCAGTAGGTCAGTGTTTCTGAAATAGAAACAAGGCTTTCTAAGGCCAAGTCCAAAGTAACATGCAATGTAGGATTAGTGACAATGGAAATTTAGTGTAAGGTAGTTATATTAGGTTTATATAAACCTTTTACTGTTATTATAGCTGTGAAAGAGTTTGGGTCCTTGTTCCTTATCTCTGCCTTCTTAGAATTTTGAATAACTTACACAAAACAGTGTCAGAGAGCTTTGAGCAAGATGAGGGTTAAAAAACAAACTGAAAACTGAGACAGGACTTGAAAGGGCTCAAAAAGCAGGACACTCTTAGCTAATTGGGATTGTTTTCTGGATGTCCCTCACTGAATCTTTCCCATGCTGTCAAGTGCCATTTAAGGTACAAACAAGGCTCTGCAATCCCTGTCTATCCTGGAGTGCTTGCTTGTATGTTCTCTGTGTTGTTAAGTCCCACAAGTTTTCCCTGTCTGACTAGTGTTCTCAGAAGGAGTCCTTCAATCAGCCCCTTTCCCCTGTTTCTCCAGTGGCCTAATGGGAGATGTTCTGGCTTCATGTCTCAGACATTTCCATCTTCATTTCTGTATAGTTTTGGAGCTAAAGAATTGTTAAAGTCTCTTAAGAGCAGGCTAGATTGTTTAAATCACCTATTATAATCCTAATTTAAATTTTCAAGCAGGAAATCTCGAGTTGATATATCCTTTATCAACACCTTTTGCATTTCTACTTTGTAGTTATTTTTCTTTAAAAAGATTGGTTACCAACCAATAGCATTTTAATTTGCAACTAAATATAGCCATTGCACTAAACTGGGTGCTATTTTGACTAATTAGAAAAGTATACTATATGCATATAGATTTATTTTAGCAGTTTTATAGCTACACATACATTTATTCAGAGTCTTAATTTGTTATACTTTTTATCAAGTTGGGAGATGATGAACGGCATATCTCTTAATTACTAGATAAGTATTAACTAGATAAGTAATTTTTTTACTTGTCTTTTGTGTCAAGTTCTGTTTGAATGAAAATTCAAATGCAATTACAATACACAAAACATCATTATAATTATTTTAGTAAATAAATCTTCCTTAAATGTAGGGGACACAAAAGGAAAAAAAAAGTTTATCAAAACGTGTTTTGAATTTAAAACTAACTTTATTAAACAACAACAGGACTATATGTTTTCAAATGTACAGACTAAAGGTGCGTCTACACTGCGCCCTTAGCTTGAAATAAACTATGCAATTTGAGCTACACAAATTACGTAGCTTATTTTGAGTTAATTTTGAAATAGCTTATTTCAAAATTTGGTGCTGTCTAGACACCATGTAGAATGAGGTTTACAGGCACATCAGAATAGCATGCCCGTTATTTTGAAATAATGGGCACACTGTCAAGATGCGGAAAACGCTATTTCAGGATACCGGAAGTATCCCAAAATAGTGCTGCTGTCTAGACACACCCTAACACTGTTACCCCTCTAAGACTTTATTAAACAAAGGAAATATTATCCATAATTAATGAATTTCTGGAGCTTCAGGGGGTAGCTGAGTTAGTCTGTTACAGAAAAAAACAACAAATGGTCTGGTGGTAGCACTTTATAGACTAACAAAACATGAAGATGGTATCATGAGCTTTCGTGGGCACAGCCAGATTTTACAACTAGTAGTTCTCATCCCCTTACACCTAGATTTTATTCATCGATTGAAAAAAAAAATGAGTTTTTCAATTCCCAGCTGGTTTCTTAACTTTGATTGAGCTAATCATTGAACCGAACTAGCTGCATAAACTGAAAGGCATACAATGTTCTCTCTGCATCTATATATGCTATTGCTGTCAAAACTACTTTAACATTTCAGCAATCCCTGATTGTCTATGGCTTCTACCGGTTTTGAAGGGGTGACTGTGTACTAAACATGAATTTAAGTTTTAAAAATGAAATTGAAAAGGCTGCTTTAGATCTATGAGGAGAGACTCTCTCTCTCTGACTGCACCCGGGCAGAGATGTAAGTTGGTTGCTTATATGCCCCTCTCTGAGCTTGGGTCTCATTTGGGCAGCTCATACGAACTGGGAAATAGTCTGGCAATAGGGCTGTCCTGGTTGCTCTGCTCCCTACTGGTGGAATATCTCCCAGCCACTTCTTATTGTCATGGAGCGCGCCTTGTGGGACCACAAGAGGAGGCTCCTGCAGCTGCCGGGGCCCACTGGAGAAAAGTGGTGTTGGAGATATGGGAGGATGGTTGCTTTGTTTCCAGTTTGTACCACTCAAACTGCTGTAAGGTGGCCCAAGGAGAACCATGAACTGGGCCCAGAGAGCATAAAGCAAAGAGCAAGGGCTTGTCTACATTTAGAGCGCTCCAGCATGCAGTGAAGATTCTGTCTGCATAGGCTGAAGTGCTTCTGTTGGCCTAAATGCTTCATCGCCCCAAGATGTGGTATCTATGTGGACGGGAGAAGCCTGGGAGTTCAGTTGATATAACTACATGACTCTGAGGGTGTGTCTAGACTACAGGGTTTTGTCGACAAAAGTGGACTTTTGTCGACAAAACTATACCTGCATCCACACTGCCTTTGAGTTATGTCGACATAACGTCGACAAAACTCAGCAGTTTTGTCGACGTATGTAAACCTCATTCTACGAGGAATAACGCCTTTTGTCGACAGAGTTCTGTCGATAGAAGGCATTATTGCATCTACACTGTCCTTTGCGTCCACACTGTTATGTCGACAAAGTGGCTTGCTTTGTTGACAGACCTGGATGTAGTCTAGACGCTCTTTGTCGACAGAAGCTTTGTCGACAGTATCTGTCGACAAAACTCTGTAGTCTAGACATACCCTGAGTGACATAGTTATACAGTACTGACAAAAGCTTGTTGTATTGACCAGGGCTAAACTGCAGAACCTGAAGCTGCAGGGGAATCAGAGGGAACTTGTGTTACCAACTCTTGAAATGTTGGGGTACGTTTGTTTAAAACCCTGGAATCATGTGACCACAGCAGAATTCAGGGTTCCCTGGGAGCCAAAAGGATGTTTCTTGTTTCGAGGTTGCAGAGAAACCCTGGAAACTGTGCTCCCTCGCTGAGACTTGAATCTGAATGGTGTCATGTCTTCCGGCAATACAAAGCTGATTCCTTATTTGTGAGGAAGAAGAAATTGTTGATTCTATGCCCCGGAGGTGCTCAGAAAATCTTTGAACTCGGATTTCTGGTAGGGGTGAAAATTATTTTTAGATACAGTATTTAGTTTTAGACTCTAAATGCTATTTGTGGTGAGTTAAATAACCACATTGTCCCATTTAATGATTTACCACCTTATGCAGTTTCCCTTTAATGTATTTACATATCCTTTGTCTCTTGGAGGTAAATGTAAGAATGAGGAAGACATTGAGGCTGTGCTGTAAACTCTCTGGTTACTTTGGCTTCAGCAATACGACTTAGAACTGTTCTTGCAAAACAACCTGATCTCTTGCTCAAGCTCTGAAAGGAAATATTGACTTGGACTTACTCTCCTTTGTTTTTTTTCTGATGTGCACCCTAGATATTGTTCAGGGAAGAATTTAAGACTTCATTGCAGAGGCCTTGGACTGAAGGTAAATGGGCAATTAGGGTTAGGAGGAAACTTTTTCTGGGAACAAGTTATCCCATAACTGCTGTGTTTCTTGCACCGTCCTGTGAAGCAGCTGGTACTGGTTGTTGTCACAGTCAGGACACTGGGTTAGGTGAAGTGCTAGTCTGATCCAGTCTGGCAGTTCTCACTTTCTAAAGATAGAAACTCACTATTAATTGTTTTTAGTAGGGGGTTGTGATGTGTGGTTTATGATGTGCACAAAAGCTGGACCTGCTGACATGCTGTCATAGCTCTTTATTATGTTTCATGTTTGGCATGAGACACAATAGCCCTGGACAGTCCTGGCTCCTGCTGACATTTCTAGTTGATACCTCTGGCTCTTTTATCATTGTTACACAGAAGGCAGCTTTTATGTGATCTGATTCACAAAGAAGCTCAAAAACATTTTGCGGAAAACTGTGCAAGAGAGAGGAAGAACTAAATTCCAGCAATACCTGCCCTCCTGCTGCACTTGAAAGAGAGAATGGATATGGTCTTCCCAATGCTGTGCAGAAGGCCAACACAACATTCATATACCACTTAACTCCTTGCTAGTTTGGCATCATATCCCACTCCAAATTCTTGCTTATTTTAAAAACTTATTATTATACCTCTGGATATTTGTATTCTCTCTATATCTTTTTTATATAAATGTCCAATACCTTTTGTCTTTGCTAAGTTCTTGCCTTCAGTGATATTGTGTGACAGTGAGTACAACTGACTGATTGTGTCTTGTGTGGGACTATTATTTGCTTTGGTTCCTATTATGGGTCCCTTTGTGTCATGGATTGTTGAGTTCCATGGGAGTGATCTCGCACTGCTTCTGCACATGTTGCACAATGGATAAATAAAAGATTGGTCCTGCTTTTAGTAGGGGGTTGGACTTGATGACCTCCCGAGGTCTCTTCCAATGCTATGATTCTAAGAGTTCAGTATCCTGGGAGCTTTATAGATTGACATATTTGGCCAGCACAAATGTCACCTTAAAGAAAATTGAGATAAAATTATGTAAAATTATGAACATACTTTTACCAAATAGCTGCAAGAGATGATAGTGCCAACAAAACATGAATAAGAAAACATGACATTAATAGGAAAGCCATTGCTTGACTGAAGACTGAGGTGCTTTCCAGAGGAGAGTTTCCATGAGCTTTGGATCTGATCCTATCTCCCCATTCAGTCCTTGGTCCTGTTTCTGCAAAGGAGCCAAAGGGGCCAGTATGTGTCAATTACAAGGCTTTTGCTGGGGGGTTTTTGGGGGTGGGAGGTGGGTTTTCTTTTTCAATGTGCCTCTGTTCGAATGAAGCTTAGCTCTACTGAACTCACGTCACAGGTCTTAGAACAAGCCAAAATACACACAGTGTGAGTGATACTTTTGGGGAGTAGAACATTTTAAAAATGGTCATCTAAATGCTTAATTCCAATTTGCAAATGTATTCCCCTTATCTCTCAGCCAGACCCAGCCCTAGTTGCATAAGTAGAGTTGCAATATGGAGCATCATCTACCTACCTAATCCCCTGAATTGTGCAAACAATTCATTCAGGCAAGCCAATAGGCATTGTACATATGCAAGACTTGCAGAACCGGACCTCGCTGCTTTTCTATCTTCAGACAACACTGTCCACGTTTCTGCTCTGTAATCTGTAACACAGGCCTGCTGGTATCCAAATATGCCCTTGAATCTGCATAGGATGCACTCTTGCTTCAGCAGAGGGATTAGTGCAAAGTTTCATCAATGGGGTTTCCGGGTTTGTGGAAGGTTGGAAAGCATAGACTTTGAACTCAAGAAGATCAGGTTGGAACGGACTTGCTGGGGACTGAACAGAACAGTTCCTGTCCTATTGCTGGAGCTCGCTCTCTGATAGGTTGCCCATCCCTGACTGCATTTAGCTCTGCTTTCAGCTCCAAGAGCGTGAGGTTGGAACAGGTGTTAAATAAACAAAGGAAACTGAGTTTGTTGGCCAAGGCAAGACTGCTACAGGGTCAGCCTGGCGGTGCTTGGAGTATCAGAGTGGAAGGTGGCTCATTTCAGCGGTTCCATCTCAGTCCCTGGTCTGGGATATTATAATGCAGTCTCACAGGGCTTTTGTTCTGGCCTGAACACAGCACTGTGGCTTTTCTAGTAGCTTCTCGAGTACACAGACTAAAAAGCCACCTGCTTTCTAACGTGGGAAATTTCACAAGACTAGTAGTGGGGAAGGTATGGAGACTATGTAGTGCTAGGGTAGGGGGATAGGACTGAGAAGCTGTGGCTCACCTGAGTTCCCCAAATGGAAAAATAAATAACTTAATCATTTGCAGTATTTTCATTATCAAGATGGGCTTTGGGTCAGGACATTCCTTGCCAGCCCTCAGCAGGTGACAGGTAAAATGCCAAAGCATATTACCACTGGAGTCAATGCGAGGTCTGTTGTTATCTTTTATGGGACCAGAATTTGGCCTGAAGTTCTATTTTGGTCTGCCAGTGGTTATGATAGACGTGTTAGGTCAGTGTTTCTCAAGATTTTTTTTTATGAAGTACCCCTTTAAAAAAAATTGTAAGTACCCCCAGTACCTATAGTTTTCAGACAGACCCACAAAATTTCTACCATTGCAAGACATTTGTTTAAACAACTTAATCGTAGCTGGGCGGGCGATGAAATTTTGGGGTGTAAAAATACAAAAATAATAAAGTGCTGTAAAACTTAAAACAAAAATTCCATTTCCTCCAAATTTCTAAATTTCAGTTGTGTTGACATCCCTCGTCCCCCAGACTTCTCTCGAGTACCCCTAAGGGTACTTGTACCTCTGGTTTAGAAATACTGTGTTAGGTCAACCTCAGGGGGTTTGGAGACTTAGGCAGATTTAGGCTGCAGGTCAGGCAAGTCGTACTTTTTGCACATGATATTTCTGGACCTTTCCATTTCTGTTGCTGCTGGAAATATGGCAAGAACAACCTGTATCACTTCTGCTTCCAGCTCTGGGCAGAACAAGATGATTCAGAGTGGTAGCAGATATTACAAAAGATGGAGAGAAACTGAAGAGCCAAACTTTTCAGACTTCAACAAGATGTTGAACAGGAGGTTTGGGGCAAGGTTCATGCTGGTCTTTACTGTATACAAACCTTTTTCTCCTCCCTCCATATATGCTATGTCTCACTTTCTCAAAAACACTCTTATCTTTCTAGAGGTCTCTCCAGTCAAGGATTCCAATGCTTTTTGCAAATGAATGACTGAAGATTTTTAAAAACAGCTAGTGTTTTTAGATGCACACATTGAAGCATCTTAGAGAATGTGAAACTGCTGAGCACCCCCCTTTGAAAATCCAATTCTTTTGAAGCGTCCCAAGTTGGGCACTAACAAATCAAGTGGCTCAAACGTAGGCACTTCAATCTACATGTGATGACACTCCTATACTACTTCAGGTTAAGACTGATTTCTCAGAAATGCTGGAAACCCCACCACACTGTTGAAGGGCAATGGGATTATGGGTACTCCACAGCTTGACATCCAGGACCTAGTCACACACAATCTCCATGGCAGATTCAGGAGTACAAATCAGACCTGTGCTGTATCCATTAAGACCATGCTGTTTGCCTCATAAAGATGTGCATATTCTGTTGAGAGTGGGCAGGATTTGTCGAACGGACCTCATTTCCTTGATAGTGCAAGTTTGCTGGTCTATAGGGCACAGTGGAGAATACATTGGCCAAATTCAGCCCATTAATTAGAGGAGGTAGCAGCAGCAAGCTATCCCAATCAGTAATGGGATCCCATCGTGCTGGAAACTATGTTCCGTGCCAAGAAGAGCTTATGTCCACACAGATTACCTTCAAACAGTGAGCTCGGTGCGACAGAGATATGCTTTGATTTCATGGCCCATCCCAAATCCTTCCTGTAACATATAGTCATGGGTAATTCTGTGCCTGAAAACAGCTCTATTGGAGACAGTCCCACTGGCTTCCTGTGTAGAATTAATTACAATCATAAACCATTTGCAGAGCAGCAATGCCTGGATTTACACAGCACCCTGCACAAGGGGCCCCCAATCCTGCTGATGTCTTTATGGCCTAATGAGCTACCTGAAATCAGACATGCTCCACAGCTGTTAATCATGAGGCATTAAGCACATCTGGGCTGCTTGGAAGTGTTCTGATTCTGTACTGGTTGTTCATAGGTGATTCAGAACTCATGTGGACATTGGTGGCTCATTTTTGTGGATACAAATGCAGATGTGGATACAAAATTTTGAATCTGCATAGGGCTCTACCCAGGTGCTCAAAAATCATTAGTTTTCATTCTATTAAAGTTAATTAACCTACCTGTACTTCTTCCTTGGTCTGGTTTGGTATGATTTTCAGAGGAAGGAAGTGAATTCCTTGTTTGTGGAACTGTGCTGTGTAAACAGTAATAAAAGTGAGGCGAACTTTTTATTTCTTTGCTGATATTGACCTTGCTGCCCCAGGTTACACTTTCAATGTTGTGTGCTAAACAGACTAATATCATCTGATTAATTCTCGGCTAAGTGCTTTCTGTGGTGTGGAGTGCTAACAAGCACTGAATTGTACTCCTTTGTGTTGACATTAATTGCTGTATTTCCATGGCTAAAGTTGATTGCTTTGGACTACAAATGACTGGATGAATCACCTGGAGGCCTGGAAACTAGGTTTCCATTTTCCCACTGTGAATTTTAAAGTGCGGGGAACTCTAGCATGACCCTTATGAACGTGTTTGGTAACCCGGCAGAACAGGTGAGGGCTAAATTCTCAATAGACACAAAGTGTGTCTACAATATGGGTGCAACAGTGACATTGCTGCAGCAGCGTCATAGAGTAGCTCCTTGCTATGCCGATAGAGGGTTGTTGTTTCTTTTCCTGTCGGTGTAGGTCTGTGATTCTCAGTCTTTCCCAACAACTGGACCTCTTTCAGGAATCTGAAACCTGAGCCCTGCCACCCAGTCCCATTGCCCAGGGCTGAAGCATGTAATTTAGCTTTGCAGGACCC